GGTCATCCTCTCCTTAATACAGTGCAGGTATCCTGTCCCATGTGCAGAAAAACACCCCCAAAGCATGATGCATCCACCCCCATGCTTCACAGTAGGGATGGTGTTTTTGGGATGGTACTCATCATTCTTCGTCCTCCAAACACGGTGAGTGGAATTAAGACCAAAAAGTTCTATTTTGGTCTCATCTGACCACAGAACTTTCTCCCATGACTCCTCTGGATCATCCAAATGGTCATGGTCAAACTTAAGACGGGCCTGGACGTGTGCTGGTTTAAGCAGGGGAACCTTCCGGCCCATGCATGATTTTAAACTATGACGTCTTAGTGTATTACCCACAGTAACCATGGAAACAGTGGTGCCAGCTCTCTTCAGGTCATTGACCAGCTCCTCCGTGTAGTTCTGGGCTGATTCCTCACCTTTCTTAGGATCACTGATACGCCACGAGGTGAGATCTTGCATGGAGCCCCAGTCCGAGGGAGACTGACGGTCATGTTGAGCTTCTTCCATTTTCTAATAATTGCTCCAACAGTTGATCTTTTTCACCAAGCTGCTTGGCAGTTGCCTCGTAGCTCTTTCCAGCCTTGTGGAGGTCTACAATTTTGTCTCTGGTGTCTTTGGACAGCTCTTTGGTCTTAGCCATGTTAGTAGTTGGAGTCTTACTGACTGTGTGGGGTGGACAGGTGTCTTTATGCAGCTAACAACCTCAAACAGGTGCTTCTAATTTAGAATAATAAGTGGAGTGGAGGTGGACATTATAGAGGAGGACTAACAGGTCTTTGAGGGCCAGAACTGTTGCTGATTGGCAGGTGTTCAAATACTTATTTGCAGCAGTAACAAACAAATAAATTATTTAAAAATCATACATTGTGATTTCCGAATTTTTCTTTTAGATTATGTCTCTCACAGTGGACATGCACCTAAGATGAAAATTTCAGACCCCTCCATGATTTCTAAGTGGGAGAACTTGCAAAGTCGCAGGATGTTCAAATACTTGTTTTCCTCACTGTATATGCAGTACGCTTGGGAGTAGGAGCAGAAAAAAATAAAACTTAAACACATTTTAAAGTGAATTTATGGGCCTTTAGAATTGAATCAGAATCTCCAAGACTAAGAATCTAGATTATTTTAAAAATCTTATTTTTTTCTGAACTCCTACTGTACATTCATCTCATCGTCATCATCTTCATCGCAATCGCCAAAGTGTTGAAGAGCATATGAAGTGTTTATAAGGAAGTGGGAAGAGTTTATAAAGCTTTAAATGTATATAAATAATAAAAATAAAAAAAAAAAAAAAAAAAAAAAAATATATATATATATATATATTATTATTATTTATTTTTTATTTTTCTTCTTCTTTCGGCTGCTCCCTGTGTTAGGGGTCACCACAGTGAACTAAGTCGCACGAAGACTTGGCAGTTATTTTTACGCCGGATGTCCTTCCTGACACAACCACAGACACCGAGCTACCACAGCCTCTGTGTGGAGCAGAGGAATGTCTAGGACACCTGGAGGAGCAGATGGTGGGGCTTAAGGGTTGCTCAAGGGCCCAAAGTGGGACAATGAGGGTGGGGGCAGTTGTTAGTGCTTCACCTACCCCACCCACATTTTTGATGTTGTCGATACTGGGGCTTGAACCAGGGATCTTCCGATCACAGGCCCACCTTCTCTAACCTCTGCACCACCACTCCCTATAGACCTTTTTCACGACAGCCAGAAGTAGTGTCTCCTGGTGCTGGGTCACTTTCTGTTTTTGCGAGTCT